GAATGCAGTCAAAAGTAAGCCAAGTCACATTTAAATTCAAATTGCGAGCATGAATCTCGAATTCGTGATTCTTCATTCTTACTCTCGGACGCAGATCGCAGCTATGAGAGGAGTACGGCGGCAGATCGAACAGACGGAAAGCGTAAAGCGTGAAATGCCGCATAGCGTCATCCTAATCGTAACACCGACGCAGCAAAGGAAGCTTGGATTCCCTCAAAGCATCGTCACGCTATTTGGATTTGGTCCCCCTTCTTCGGCTTCATATACCATGCGGAGGTTTCACAAAGCATACCCTCATCCACGCTCATTGATCCTCCAACCTCATCCTCCATCAAGCTGCGTATTCAATACCTAGAAGCGTCGTTCATAAGATCGAGCGTGCTCCCCTCGTACTTCCCCTTCCTTACCATCCTACCCAACTCTTCTGCGGAAACAAGACGCCCTCCACTCGTGCACATCTCGCAGCATCTCAGTCAAGTACTCTGCTTTTTTTTGCCTACCCTCATTAGCTCTCATCGACCAACATTCTCGGCGACCAGCATTCCATCTCACCTCCACACTTTGCGCAGAGAAAAGTCAGGCTCGCAGTGACGTTGCGCAGGCTGGTCACCTTGGATCATCATGGTGGAAAAATGTCCGGCGGACAATACACAGAGCGTAGAGCAGGATAACTTCTGGACCGATGTCAGGTCTGGAAATTTGTGAGTCGCTAGCCGAGGGACGATGGTGCGCATCTTCAAAGGAAAGCCAAGCTTGTCCAAAGACGCTCCACTCATCAGAGCAGACATGCGAGCATGTAGAGGAGAAGTGCAGGCTGCGAAAGGAATCTGATCGCTAATCGAAATTCCCCCTCCCTCGATACGGATGCGATGCTATTGTGACGATACTCACACTAGAGATGCGCATCACATTGGGTGGATCATCTGCGGCGCCGCAGCAGTCGTCACAGTGCTCTTATCCTTCATCACCATTTTAGGCCATGCTCGCAACTACAATCGACCTCTGGAGCAAAGGCAAATCATTCGAGTGCTACTGCTAGCTCCAGTCTACGCCATCGTCAGCTTCTTCAGCTACCGCTTCTTCAGATCATACACCTACTTTTCGCTTGCGGAAACTGCTTATGAAGCGTTTGCTATCGCTGCTTTCTTGATACTCATGCTGCAGTACATCGGTGACTCCGTCGAGGACCAGAGAGCAGTCTTCATGGGAAAGGACAAGAAACCTTTGCCGTTCCCGTTTTGTGAGTGGCGCTGCAGCTTCTTGCTACTTTGACCTGCATGTATGCGCATTAGTTGACCATGATGCTGCCTTTGCTC